TTTAAGGAGTAATTTTTACAGTTGTCCCTTCAATGTCCTAGTTTCAGTTGGAAAAAAATGGAAACACAGGGGGACAACGGGAGGGCAGCCAGGGCGAGTGTGCTGGAGCTTTACAAGCTGGAGTTAGGGGTGTTCTCTCTGACCCTAGTCTATCCAGCTTTGCAACCTTGAGCATGAAGACAGGAAAAGAGCAATGACCTCACACAGAGGTGCCACCGGAGGGTTAGCCTCCTGAGGAGTCCCCCTCCACACTGTGGCAGAGTGATCTTTCTCAAATAGGGTCGTACCCTTCAGGACCTTCCAGGGCTCCCCATTTCCCACAGGATCAAATCCAACTTTTCTAGCAAACCTCTCAAGACCCTTCACCACCTGGCCCCAAACAACATTTGCAGCTTCATTCTTAACTATTCCCTGCCCCCTCCCCATCCCAAATCATATATCCTGTGCCGAGCTGCTGTCCCCTTTGCTCTTATGTTGTTCAGGAGCCACCTTTCATCCCAATACTATTTCTTCGCACGCCCCTTGGCCCATGGCAGCTGTGGCTTGTATTTTTAACTGCTCCTTGCCAACAGATCCTGCCTTTTCCGCCAGCTTGTAAAATAGATTGTAGATCCCTTGAGGGCTGAGAGCCTGTGGTCTTAACCTATTTGCATCCCTGGTGTTTATTCCAGTATTAAATACTCGTATCACACTCATCACTGTCTTAGCGTTTCTACCTCCTAAATGTCACTTGAATTTCTGCCCCCTCCGCTCACTGCCTCCAGTGCCACTACGGGAGTTCTAGCCGCCTTCCTCTCTCCCCAGACCTGCTGTAGCCTCCTGACTGGTCTGCTTTCACTCAGCAGCGGCTGCTAAGCTTTAAAAACTTAAGCTGGATCATATTGCTTCCCTGCTTAAAAGCTGCATGATTTAAAGGTGTTTCCCAGTTTTGCTATACAAGGTTCATTCTTACAGAGTAGCCTGTGTGCCTCAGGAGTGCATGGGTGAGAATAAAGCATTAAATCATGACACGGGGGAGGCCTGCTGAAAAGAAAAGCCTTCAGGTTCAGAGTCACCTCCTCCAAGAAGCCTCTCCAGATAGCCCCAAGTAGAAATGACCTCTCCTTCCTCTGTGTCCCAGTCTGCTCTGGCGAGACACTTAAGGGGAAACCTATATACACTTTCGCAATTGTTTTTTAGTGCAATTCCCTCCCTCTGTTAGATGGGACGCCCCTGGTGGACAGGCTGGAATGCAATCTTTGGACAAAGCCAAGGGCATGGGCTGAACAGAGTAGGCCCTCAATCAAGGCCCCTCGACTGACCAACCAAATAAATGACTCGTGTAAAAAGAATAGTCTCCATTTCAGGAGCCCTTGCCTAGGAACCAAATTGAATGTGGTTTTCCCTGTCAGTGTCATTGATGCTGAAGTGTTGAAGCTGTTAAAGGACCCTCAACTTCTAAGGCCCAGCACACAAACCCTCACTGGATCTAGCTGAAGACATCCTGGCCTGTTCTAACGAATTATATGCAGACCTGTGACTCCCCCTTCCCGGACTGAGAGTTCATTGCCAATCTTTCATTAGCATAGTCCCCCACCCCCCCAACACATGGCTGCCAACCCTCCTCTCCACTTACCTACTCAGTGGAGCTCTTTGTGGTGTTTGTTGCCCTTTCTGGCAAAGGAAAAAGCTCAGCTTTCTTTAGTATTAAGCTCTTTGGATTTTGTTTTCTCCTTTGACCCCATGACCGGCTGGTGAGCCCCAGGCCCTGCCATGGCTCTGGAGAGGACCTTCTCTGCCTCTGCTCCTCAGCACAAAGCACTTAGCTGATGCCACACTGTGTGTTATAGGACTACCAGGCAATGGGGCCCTGGATACCTGCCTGCTCTGGGAGATTGTCAGCTTTCCTGGAATTACATTTTAAAACTCTAGAGCTCACTGAAGGAAAATAGCACTACATACTAAAGTACTATAGTAATAGTCATAGAATTAATACACTATTAATTCTATACTAATGGTAATAGTAGAGTAAGAGTAATACTAATATACTATTAATGCTATAGTAATGGTAATAGTATAGTAATACTAAAATACTAGAGTACTAAACAATACTAAATAGTACTCTAGTGGAAGGAAAACAGTACTAAATAGGAAAATTAAAACTAAACTTTATTGTGATAACAAGGTTTTTAGAGACTTAGATTTTTTTTTCCTGTTCCTGGGTTCTTTCTGCTTCACACATAACTCCTTTCTATGGTTCATATGCCTACTGAGATTTTGAACACAGAGATACTTTTAAATTGATGATATAGTAAGAACAGAACTGGAATTTTGTAGTTTTACCTTCACAGTGATAGGACACTCATCTATTCTGAGACGATTGTGTTTATGTTGTATTTTAATGTTGGTGTATCAGTCAGGATTCTTTTGGTTGCAAGTGACAGAAACCTGACTGGAGCCAGGTTAGGTAAAAATAGGGGTTGTTTTGCTCAGGAAATGTCGAGGAACCAAGCCCTTGGAAGGGTAGGAGGGACCCAGCCTGGCCTCAGGGAGAACTGAAAGCCGGGGTTCTCTGTGAACGTCAGATCCATCCCTTCTCTTACCTTCAGACGGGCTTTTTCCATGTGGCTGAGAGACGTGGGACTAGATGACCTTCTCGCCTCCTTCTCTTTCCCTCCCTCCCTTTCTCTCCCTGTTTTTTCTCTCTCCAAACATCTTGAAAAAGCATCTTATTAGCCCACCTCAGGTCTCGAGCCAGTTTGGCCAAAGGTGGAGCATTGTGAGCACTGTGGCTGGCCCAGCTGGAGCCAAGTTCTTCATCCCCCCAGGACATACAGGAGCAGTGTCACATGAAAACGTGGTCACTTCCATGGGTTGGGAGGTGGAGGTTAGTGGCAGCTTAGTTCCTAAGAGCAAGAGTCTGAACATTCGATAAAATACGTAAGATCTGAGCTCTCACCTAGGGTATCTCAGACCCTGGTCCCTGTCGCTCAAAACCAGCCGACCAGGTGACAGTAGAACAGACAGCTTGTGGCTGGTGACCCCGGAAATGTGAATCAGTAGCAGGAATGCATTTTCCTAGTAGTTCATCGTGATCTCTTCTACCAGATGCCAACTCAGGGTGCCTATCCCGTGCCATATCGGCATTCACTGATTTTATTTTACTCAGTTATTCAGCAAAAATGCATTGACTATCTATTATGTACCTGACATTCTGCTCAGTGTGGAAGATATAAAAATAACAAGGACAGTCCCTGCCACAGAGAGACTGCAGTCTAGTGGGAAAGGTAATTACCATGTAAATAGGTAATTGCCACAGGTGTGGCGAGAACTCAGTGCTGCAGGGATGAGCTCAGTGCTGCAGGGATGAGCTCAGTGCTGCAGGGATGAACTCAGTGCTGCAGGGATGAGCTCAGTGCTGCAGGGATGAACTCAGTGCTGCAGGGATCAGCTCAGTGCTGCAGGGATGAACTCAGTGCTGCAGGGATGAGCTCAGTGCTGCAGGGATGAGCTCAGTGCTGCAGGGATGAACTCAGTGCTGCAGGGATGAGCTCAGTGCTGCAGGGATGAACTCAGTGCTGCAGGGATCAGCTCAGTGCTGCAGGGATGAACTCAGTGCTGCAGGGATGAGCTCAGTGCTGCAGGGATGAGCTCAGTGCTGCAGGGATGAGCTCAGTGCTGCAGGGATGAGCTCAGTGCTGCAGGGATGAACTCAGTGCTGCAGGGATCAGCTCAGTGCTGCAGGGATGAACTCAGTGCTGCAGGGATGAGCTCAGTGCTGCAGGGATGAGCTCAGTGCTGCAAGGATGAGCTCAGTGCTGCAAGGATGAACTCAGTGCTGCAAGGATGAACTCAGTGCTGCAAGGATGAGCTCAGTGCCACAGGAATGAGCTCAGTGCTGCAGGGATGAGCTCAGTGCTGTCGTATTAAATGTGGAGAGAGAGTGAATGGCCATCTATAACTCCATGCTGTAAACATGTGCTTACTTCCCCTTCCCCAACCAGTTATTTAACTATTTCCTCCGCATCCGATGGTCCCATGTGCAGACTGCACATGAAACCACTCTTGCTCACATTGTTTAAACTCAGAGACATCAGCCATGTGAAGTAGATTGTGTATTATTTCCCTCATTTTGCACATGAAGAGATAGAGACTCTGGTGCTTTGAAATTACTTGTCAGGTTCCCACAGCTAGTATGTGATAGCATCCACCCTCAAACCCATGCCTGGGGCTTCAGTGCCCGTCCTAAGCCACCATACCACCACCATCTACCACTGAACGCAGAAGCCCCTTCTAGAAAAAGAAATCTAATCCTGATCTGTCCCCAGCTGTATTCTGAAGGACTCTGACCCACATTCGTCAGCCATCTGGGTCACCCACCTGCGCACATTCTTCAGCATGTTCCCCTGTCGGGACCCCTCTGCTCACTGAGCGCACTGTGCCCCCATCCCAGGTCTGAGGGCCACACCTGCCTCTTGCTCTGAGGTCTCGATAATGTAGGGGGGAGGGGAAGGAGTTTGGCGCTGACAGAGAAAGTCTCAGATGGGAAGCTGAGAATACAGATTCCATTTCCCAGAGCAGTGAGTCTGAGACTTTGAAGTGCACATCAGTCACCTATGGATCTTGTCCAAATGCAGATCTGATGGAGTGGGTTTGAGATGGGACCCAAATTTTCTATTTCTAACAAGCCCCCAGGTGAGGCAAGGATCCAGATTGAAGATGCTAATACATCATAGCGACTCGAGAAAAACAGCAAGTCATTGTGCTGGTAGCTTTCTTTAAACCTTGAAAGTAGACATGTGATCTTGAGTAAAATACTATTTTAAAGGCATCTTTATAGAAGGAGCCCTGGGATCTTGTAGACTTCTACCCATCACATAGCCCCTTTGCTTCAACCTCCCCGGGTCAGACTTCAGAGTAACAAATTGCTGATTAACGCATGTGATATTGTTTGGAACAAAAACATTATGGAAAATGCTGGTTATAACCTGTGGTATTTTTTCTTTTCTTTTTCTTTGTAGGAGATGCCAGTGAAGAAAAGGGCCCAGAATGATCACTAACCTATGACTCCCAACAGCATGACAGGTATCTGTACTTTTTACATTTTCTTGGTGTGTCTACATTTTCGTTCCACTTAAAGAGAAATATAAGAAATCGAGAAAACTTAGCAACAATAATTTCCAAACCTACAAGTGTTATTAAGTGCAAATGCATCCCGGGATTATATCCCTGCAAACATCTTCTCATCTTCTTGAGAAACTATGAGATGTGTCGCCACCGCAGACATGATGGGGAGGAAATGGTAATTCACTGCCAAAGGCTAGTTTTAAGCCATCCTAAGATCTCCCTTGCACACTGAAGACATTCACTTTTTGCATTCATTCCGATCAATGTAATAAATGATTCTACATGCTCACAGACCCCAGAGTCCAGGCATCTTCCCCAAGGCGGGCTGTTTATTCCATCCAGCAGTAGAGTCAGAATGGAACATGACTCAGTCACACAAGGTAAAGTGAGCTAGAAGCTCTTAGCAAGGGACAAAGGAGCAACAGAATGACCCCCAAGGAACATGAGATTTCAGTAGCATAAATTCTTTGTGCAACACATAGAACAGGGGTCGCAGACTCAAAGGCCCGAGGGCCGGGGCGGAGAGGCCAATGCCTGAGACAGCGGGGTGTGCAGACAAAGCTGTTCTCTCTGAAGAGAAGCCACACCTCCCTCTAGGCAGTCGCTGATGAGCAGAGGGAAGCCCAGTGTGTCCAGAAATGCTGAATTTTCAAAAGTTAGAAATCCAGGTTTAAATAAAATACCCCAGTTATCAATGTAAACAGTAAACATATAAAAATATCAAAAACTCACAGGCCAGTCAAAATGTCTGCTGACTGGAATCAACCATGGACTGTCAGTTTACCACAACCTCTGCTATCCAGCCCAGCACCGAGCCGTGACTGTCCTTTTGGTGACTATGGCAGGAGACCAGGTACCCTAGACTTCTGTGTGTCATGGGTACAGCCTCGCTTTTTGCTGTTGTTATTAATGCTCGCCTGAGGATATTTTTCCATTGCTTTTCAGAGAGAATGGAAGGGAGGGAGGGAGAGAGAGAGAAACATTGATGTGAGAGAGACACATGGGTTGGTTGCCTCCTGCATGTGCCCCGACTGGGGGCAGGGAGCAAACCCACAACACAGGCATGAGCCCTTGACCCCGTGACCCTTTGGTGCATGGGCCAACGCTCTAACCACTGAGCCACAGCGGCCAGGGCTACACCCTCACTTTTGATAATCTATGTAGGTCACTTCCCCACCCAGTAACAAGCTAAATAGACAGGACAATTCCTCCCAGAATTCATTGAGAAATTGAAGCAACTGAAAGTGGCTGCTCCGCCTTCTGGAAGTTTACAAGCCTGATGTAATGACCATAACATTACATCCCCCAGCATCACTGCCCCGCCTCCACCCATCTACACTTGAGTTCCTGGGGCAACAAGCTAGAGTGCCTGGCAAGCCAGAGTGAGTCACTCCCGTAAGAAGTGAGGGTCTCAGAGCCACCTCTCATCTTATTTCTCATTAGCAGCCACCACGAGGTACCCACTCCCATCTCTGTTCCACTGCCAGCCTGGCCGATGTTCTGAACTAAGCCAGCTCTCGGCCAGTCTTGTGAAAACCCGATGCTTTCCTTGCAGGCTGGGCTGGAACCCAGCTGCCTCCCAGTGGAGGAGGGAGCTTTTCCTACCCAGCATTTGCTTCTTAGAGTAGAAACTAACAGTAGTTCTATTTTCAAAAGAAATCGACTCCATACACACATATGCTCAGTATGTTAATGGTCTCAGCTGAGAAAATCATCACTTTAGACTGTTTGCGGATGAAGCAATACAGTGCCCTTCCTTCTCTCTCTTTTGCTATGGTCTTGGACTACATATTTATTTTAAGAAACTTAAAGGGAGACCATAATAAAGTTGTAACACATCAGAACTAAGCACTTGCTTTAGGAGCATAACTTAAAGGGAAAATATGCATAATAGGTAATATTATTGTTATGCAAAATAGAATGAAAAGAAAACCATTGTTTTAAATGAACAGAAGTAAGAGCATTAAATCTATTTTCCTAAAACCAACAAACCAGCATTTTCAAATAAAAAAGCTACCTCACACACAATTCTTATTACAGTTATATTTTGTATTAACTCAAGTGGAAAATTGTTTATTTCCGGGGTTATTTAATATCAGCTACAATGGAGTTGGGTCATGCCAAGATTTTCTCATTGCTTTTTTCGACTAATTTGAAATTAGGACTGTATGAAATAACTCACTGAAAAATACTGATTTATAAAGAAGCAAGTAAGAAAGTGCTTTAATATATTGTATTAGTCTGGAATTAAGTGCTGCTTCCTAGATAAGCTGAGGGAATTCTGCTAACATTTATGGCATTATAATGAGCTCTACTTTGCATAAAACCATGACTCACAGCATAAAGGAGTTCGTTTTAAGATATGAATACCTAAAATGTTAAATAGCAAAATTAGAGGCTTTGGGCCTTGGTTGGAAAGGAAACTAAGAACTCAGACTCCTCTAAATGTACCTGAAAGGCCAGAAACAGGAATCTTTTATGTTGGGACTGAACCTGGCTTTATGGAATTAATATACGATATAAAGTTCGCCCTGTTGTGATGTTGTCATTTTTTTTCTCAAGGCATTACTAGTGAGTGCGTCCCAGGTACCAGGGGAGGGATGTTGGCAAGGATATGCGTGAGCTTTCTCGGTTGTTGCCCACGTGTTCTCACTGTCATCCTCAGAGTATTTGCTCGCTTGTTAGGATGGAGCCATTTGTTAAGCAAAATTAAGAATTACATAGGCTTTTTTAAAACTTACATTTCCCATTATTCCTGAGGTTAAATATTTTTCATGATTATCACCCACTTGCATTTCTCCTTCTGCAACTCTGTTGTTTATATTTACTGTCTAATTCCCCTTGGTGGANAGGTTAAATATTTTTCATGATTATCACCCACTTGCATTTCTCCTTCTGCAGCTCTGTTATTTATATTTACTGTCTAATTCCCCTTGGTGGATTTTTTCTATTATTTGTTGAAGCCATTTATTATATATTAAGGATAGTAACTACACACGTTACCTAATCTGACTAGATCTTGAATTTTTTATCAATTCAATGAGAAAAGTGAGACTAATTCATCTCTGGTTCCCCTTCCACTTTTAAGATTAGATTATCTATGCTTAAAATTCAAAGACTTATAAATCAAATTTTCAAAAGTAAGACATGGGCACAGTGATGGTTGGTGTAAAGGGAAAGATCATCCTGGAGCAATATAGTTAATGTTTTGAGACTATCCTACTGGACAAATTTTTCAGAGTCAAACAAAACATTTAATTTGGCAAAACTCAGTATTTTCTTGGAAAACCCAAGTCATTTTTTCAAAGGTGGCTCTCCAGCTGTTCCTTGGGCTTTTCAGCTGCTCCTTAATGACCATCTCATTACTTTAGAAAGGGAATCACAGGTGTGCTCATGTCCTACAACCTTGTACATTTTTTTCTTCTTTTGAAATAATTCCATAATAACAGAAAAGTTCCAAGATTAGTTCAAAGAATTTCCAGTTACCCTTTACCCAGAGTCCTCAAATGTTAACATTTTATCACATTTGCTTAATTTCTTCCCTCTCTCTTTCCTTCACATACATAATTTTTATTTTGAACCACTTACTAATAAGTTATAAGTATGATGGTATGGCGTTTTTTTGACATACAAAAGTTTTTAGTTTGTATGTAGTGAGCTCTATTTTAGAGGTGTCATGCTCTGATTTATGTCTTTGTTATCTAGCTTAGAAATATGTCCTTATAAGTACAAGTGACAGAGTTCAGTGGGTTCTTTGTGATGAGTTAACACTTCTATTTCAATACATAGCTCTTTTTCATTAAACACAGGGATGACTGGTTAAAGTCAGAGATCTTCTCAACAAATGCCCTCTCATATTGACCCTTTATGCACCAACCCTCCACCCAGAGTACCCTAGTCCTAACCTTTGGGGGCAGGGAGGGCAAAACCTGGAGTTCCTTCTGTCCACCTCCCAAAGTCAGGACAGCCAAAGCCTAGGTCTTGGTACCGGTTACCCCTGCAAAGGATGGAACCACAGAAGCCCGACATGGTCTCTGCTTCCTTTCCCACGTTGCTCTGCCAGCAGGGAGACTTCATATTCATTGACATACTCCTGGCGTAATTATTCTAAAAGGGCATCTGGAGGCTTGTTTCACTTCCTTCCAAATTCCTCTTTCCCCAGTCGTGGCCGAAAAGAAAATGTGGCCTTGGATTCCATAGAGCCATCCACGCACAATGCAAATGTTGCCACAAATAGTTTTGGAGAAAGAGAACTACCAAGCTCCCCAAATAGCTAGCTCTCCTGTTGGTGGAACCAATGACAGAAAGGATCTTGGATTCTATTCCTTGGGTATTTAATGCAATGAAGCAGCTCCCTCCTCTGCACGGTGTCACTTCTAAAAAAAAAAAAATCTCACTGCAAGTAGGCTAGAAAGGAAGCATCAGTCTTCCCGAAACGCCTCGAGGGCAGAAGCAGGGCTGCTACACGCATCACGCTGCAAACCTTTACATTCCTCCTCTGACATCTCCCGCAGTAACTGCTGAAACCTCATGTACTCTTCCCCCTCTCCTGGAAGGCTAAAGGTCCTGGGCTGTGGATGCCGCGCACACTGCTTCCCTCCCCCTCCACTCCATCGTCTCTACTCCACCGGGAACCCCCCCTGCTCATTCCTTGAAGATCACAGCACCTTCTCCCCACCGCTCCCATTACATCCCTTTTTTCTTATTTTAATTTTTCTTTTTCCACTGTCATTGACCACCATTACACACCTTCACCATTCTAATGAACTCACCTCTACCTCCTTCAAGCCTGCTGTAACCAAGAATTGCCCAGCACATCTCCCCTCAACGCCTCCCAATCGCAGATAACAACCTTAACCTTCCAGGGTTCTGTTGTGTCAGGACCTATCTTCCTCTCTCTTCTCCCACATGCCACTGACGTCCACAGCGGTTGCATATATGTAGGTGCAAACTCCTTC